ATCTCTATCGAAATATACATATATATATATATATATATATATATATTTTCTCAACATTATATATATATATTATTATACATATATATATATATATTCTAAACATTAGTTCTAAAAAACACAAGTCAGAAAATTAGATTCGGCTATGGCCGAATCTTTCAGTTCTATCTTTTTTTACTTAAAAAAAGAAAACACATAAATAATGAAACTTTGTTAATATTCGCTGGGCACTCCCGTTTTTTTTTTTTTTCATTTTTGTAGAATCACTCAATACATTTTTATCGCCATGTATGTTGTAAGGTGTGTACTTGCTTTTGGAAAAAAAAGATGCGCCCAGCTTATGTTGGTCTTTTTCAATACCAACCTGCCTGTAAAAGCTCTCAGCGCTTTTGTGAAATTTAAAAGCGATGTTATAACACTTATAATCCGAGGAATGGTTGCCACACCATAGCCCGTAGAGACTGACACGGGGAAACGTAGGCACGCATAAGTGAAACCAATATTTTATATTGATCAAGAATCTTGTTAGCTTAAGTCTGCAGGGTGCAGACATTTTAACGAAAGACGTAAATTTCAATATTCTGTTACGCTAGGTAGGCGTGGCCGATATTTTCAATTTTACTACCGATATTACAGGATCATTCATGCAATACAATTGTAAATTTTTATCGTCCAGTATAAGTAATGAGTGGAAAATTTGATTCTTTATTGCTTTGCTTCGGGTTAAGCTGCATTATGGGATCGTATTTCGACCGATTTTGTCTCATTGCCTGCAAGAATTTTCAATATTTCTGCTAAGTTTGTAGCGTCAAGCTTTCCTTCTTTTAAAACAAGGAGAAGGTGGAATGCGGTCAGACAGGATGGACATACCTAAATCGATTCAGAATGATCAAGAACATATATATATATATATATATATATATATATATATTATAGGGAATATGCACCTTCTTTCTGACAAATGTTGCAAACGTTTTGATCAAGTAAACATACATATCGATACTGATGGTTATTAAAAGTGAACGTTTCCTTCATTAGTATAATAACGAGTTTGTTGTTGTGACTTTCGTTTATGTTTATTTTTCCTATTATTGCAAAATAATAATAATAGTTTGTGCTGAAATACGATCTGCGATGGGTAGAGAGGGAAAGGTTGGAAGTAAATAAATGATTTTAAAATTCTAATCTGTTCGCATTACAACTCAGCATTTTTATTCGTTGCTGAGTTGAAATTGACCGTGAATAATATTATCTCCAAAATTTCAATACGTTTACAAGTACACGTAGGCAACAAATTTGGGAAATGTTCAGCTTCCTTAACTTGGATATATATTTGAATAAAATTTTTTACACATTTTCTTATCAGAATCATTGTTAAGTTAGCTAAAGTTGGATTTTTGCCAATTTCCTCAAAACAGAAACGAAAATGATGCCTCCTAAGTTATTAAGCAGACTTGAAAAATTAATTTAATTTGTTCATACGACGACAAGGAAGACAAGGAAGGCTTAAATTTCTTCAGCTTGCCTAACACATCTGTTATGTAAAGTCATTTACACGCCATTCGTTGTGCCACACGTTGTGCACTTTAAAAAGATCAACTCTGACCTGACGCCCACTTATATTGGTCTACTTTCAGTTTACTCGTGTCGTAGCACTTATTAAGTTGCAAGGAATTACTTTGATTACATATTTATTTTTACATTTTTATTGAATTCTTATTTTTTTATGCTTTCCACACTTAATCTGTTATTTTCAGGTTTTATCAAATGTTTTATTTTTACACTGACCACTGACAGAAGAGTGGGGTATATTTATTTTACTATGACGTTTGTAACGCCAAGACGGGAACTTCAGAGACCTCAAACAGTATATATATTCTTGATTAGCATCATACTCTGGATCGATTTAGGCTTGTCCGTCTATCCGTCTTCCCCTCATGGCATAAATATCGACTTCAAATTTGGCAGAAGCAATGAAAGTTCTTGCACATGGGCTGGCATTTAAAAAGGGGTCCAAATGGGGCAAAAGATGCGCCTACAGGGCCACGTAAACTGAGAACACCTTTGTTTTTCAGCAGAAATAAAAAATGGATTTTTTGCCCCTTACTTATAAACTATTGTGATTGAATCCACAAACTTTTGAATGTGTGTTATATGGTAAGCAATTGCTTATGTAGCGCTGTGTAGTGTAATGTAAATACGGAAAGTATTGACCAAGCCTACCCAATATTACAATGCATCAATATTTAATTTTTTTTTTTCAATACACGTACAAGCAAGCTTCAGAAAACCCATAGTGTATATAAAATCAAGGCCAATCTAAAATTCGGTTCGGTCACGATCGAAAATAATTTTCTTACGTGTTCTCTCGTTTACGAAACGACTATAAGATTGACTTTTATGGTTTATGGTTGTTTGCGATTCATATGAATTTCTACATAAACTTATTTATTTCGACATTTTAGGTCTTATAAGCGTAAGGAAAGGAGGAGATGCATTTATACGCATTTTTTTGAGGGGAGTGGTACTCTATGGCGCTGTCATTTCGTCGTACAAGAGCGCTATCTTTAAAGTGTAGGCAATCGTACAAGTTACAACGTTGAAGCGTAAACAACTTAATAAAAAACAATAATAAATAATTGTTGATATCTTTGGATATATGTACTTCGGAGACAAGAAAAAGCCATTTGCTGGAAGCTTTAATTTGCCTCCTTAATTGGAAATGCAGTGCAGTCCTTACGAGCGGTAAACAGTGGATGCCTTACAATAGGCAATCATAATGCAGAGCCGTTAAGGACGACGATAGTTCGAAACATCCATGGCAGTCCTATTTGGAGTTAGTTGGCGTGGTATGTTATGAATTGATCTAAACAAGCCAAAGGTCTGCTACCAACGATATCTGATGAAAATGGAACGAATATGCAATACGCTAAAAATCATGATATTGTGATCCTCGCCCAGGAAATGTGTACAACTTTAAGCTGGAATGTCCCGCCGTCCCCGCTGTTATCAGCAGACACTAATCCTCCCGATGAACGCTGTGATTCAGAGAGTCGTTCAAACCGTGCTTCTATGCTTACGACGATGTCCAAACACGTCCTTTCGTGGATAGCCACAAAAGACCTGTTGTCCCTTTGGCATCTAATTCATATCCACATATAAAAGAAGATAGAAATAATGGTTACTACTGGATAATGTATTGAACAAAATAACTTCTGACATCTTTCCATAATATCTTCTCAACTTCCATGCAGAATGGGCGAATACTTATTTGGTGAGGGAAGCGATATACAGATGTGGCAAGGGGACGTTTAAAATTTGTTTTTTCATACCAGCTCTATGTTAGGAAAATTGACTCTTTAAAGTTTCATTTTTTCATAAATATTTGTTTTTTAAATAATTTTGCAAATATTTAAGACAAAATGCCAAGCAAGACTATATTGCCATTGAAATCATTTTGACATTTTCAGTACTTATGTTAAGCGTCTCTGCTAGCCTTTTAGAAAATTGTGCAAAAAAACGTCTGAACTTATTCATGCATAAACCTTTCCGTTAGCATATCCTTTGACCAATGCCTATGGGGGCTATTTGAGATTGGAGTTCTTACAAGCAATATTTCCCAACAAATTGTTTAGTCAGCAACAAGCTTGTCTTCTTCTTCCCTAGGAAGGCTTTACAAAATCATATAAAATTGTACATTTTATGTGGTTGTTGGGAACACTGTGATCGTTATTGATTAAGTCCATCGGCTACTTTAGATAATCATAAACCATTAACTGTCCAACCTAAGGCATTGGATAACAAAACGGTTTGATGCAAACTCAAATGATACTCCTGACGACCCAACATATATGTACAGTACCACAGCATATTGGCTGACCTATTTAGATAATCCACTTAGCGACTCGTTTGTTTGTTTCTTGAAACATTATCTTTCAGCTTTGGTTTTCCTGCTTGTCTATTTAAGCGTGAATTTTTTTTTATAACTGTACCACAAAAATATATAAGAATAGCAAAATAAAGAAACATTTTATGAATACAAACGAAAATTGAGTTTCAGCGGATCTACTGATATTATGCATACACTACACTATACCAGCCTTTGAGACCTTTTGTAGTAAGTTAATAAACTTTTCAAATAAATAAATTTAATTTGAGGAATCTCTTTATCGATCTATGGCTATCGATGAACCTACAATACAATGGGACATGAGACACCATAAAATTGCCAGCATCATCTTACAAGTAGTTAGGTAATGACTTTTCAAAATGGGGCATTATGTGCGATCCAATCCGAACCATACTCAATAGCATTCGCTCTTGAGCCAATATGCGTCAAAATAGCTTAAAAATTGCGACCTATGGCTTGAATACATCAAATAAAAACCGAAAAAAAAAGCCGGAAGGACGGACAGACAAGGAAGAAAGACAGCAAGAATCATTTCGCATGAACCGATGGATGTAGTAGTATCCGGATCTATCTCAAGTCCTTCCGTGTGTTGCATACATCCACACAAGCCTAACATACTCTTGTATCATAAGTGATGTGTGGTATAAAATAAAATTAAAAATTATTTACCTAAGTTCAAGTTTTATTATATTGCGTTTTAAATTCATGACGATAACAATTAAAAATCATCAACCTACAGCCTTCGCTGTAGCGTCGTCTTATTTAAGCGTGTTCGCAAAATTCTTCTAATTTGTGCATATGGATCTATTAACCTACTTTCATGCTTTTGTGCTAAAGTACAAAAGCACTCTATATTTCATATATGGTAAGTGATGTTAAATGATATCAGACCTATGCTGCTTCACAATGCTTTTGTGCTATATTTCTTGGTCAACGAAAGTTGATATCCGGCATAGAAATTGCGAAACTATTATATAAATTTAAGCTGTTAAGTGAAAACAGTGTAGTGTGCAAAGCGTATCGAGTCATTTTACAATCTAAAATAAAGTATTAATGCGTATCGTTTCCTTTTTTTTTATTTTCTTCCAAACAGAGAGGATGATGAACACGATAAATTTATACAGCACCCGCTTAATTATCAAATCGTTTCGAAAACTATAGTTAAAGAAAAATTGTATCAATCGCAAGCAGAACAACAACAGAAATACAATAATGATTTGGATCATCGCACAAAAATACGTGGAATTTATCATCAGGTACGAGTAAACACGGAATTCAAATAAATAAATTTGCAATATCGAAGAGAGAAAAAAATTGTTCCCGAAATCCGAAAATCGATGATCGGTCTTTCGGATGAGAGACGGATACGTTAGCTGCTAGATTATATGGGATACATGTTAACGCCCTCGTATATACGGTCTTTTTTTTTTTTTAATTAACACAATTACATCATACTACAAGGAGCGCCCTTAAATACCCTACAGCACAATACAAATAATGTAAAATAAGGTGTTGCGTGGGAAGTGGTCAAAAAAGTGATCCGATCGCAAATATTTTCGTTAGTGGTCGTCGTTAGACGAAAAAATATCGATGCCACAAATTTGACCAAAATATTTCAAAAATTGCGACCTGTTGGTTGAATATTAGGAAATAAGACGGACAGACGGACAAACAAGCGTAGATTAATTCAGAATCACTGCTTGATCGATAAAATGACAGGTGCGTCCATCTCAAGTCCTTCTGGGTGTTTGCTCGCGCAAACTTAACATAGCCTTGCATCACAAGTACTGTAGGGTGTAGTAAAAAACTAATTTAAACATCTTTCAGATCTTATTGTACCACCTTGTGGTATGAGAAGCCTATGTAAGTTAAGAAAGTGCAACTCACTCTTTTTGACACGTCTCTCTTATGGGTTATGTTGTGACTTTATTTGAAACCTCAAGGTAAACTATTGAAGACATCAAAATGTTGAGTGTCCTGCTAAACTAATAGTAAAAATTGCACATTCCTAGTTTCATTTCTGATTTCGTCGATTTCTCTTGAAATCAATTTTCTGCAAGCAAACAACTTCGCCTTTGTGCGTTTTCAATGATTTTCTATCATTCGAAAATTAAATTTTTAGGTCCATATTATCGATCGGCCTTCGCCGAAACACTAACTTGTTCGTCAATGTTTTTAAATCGTTTTATGTCCTCTCCAGTTCAAAGTTTGAATTTATCAAAAAGTTCGATTTTGCTTAACGGAATAAGTCCACATCAATAAATATTCTAAGAATCTTCAAGATACACGTTAAGTATAGGGATGGGATGAAAAATCAACATTTAATTAATCAAATCGAATAAATGGATTGTTTTCTTTTTTTTTTTTAGATAATCTCCACATGCGCGGTTTTGCTATTATCGGCTGCCTGTGGTATGCCGATCGGTTATTCAGCGATTTTATTGCCGCAATTATCTGCGAACAATACTTTTGCCGAAAATCATGGTACGCCTGAAATCGTTATAGATATTGAGATGGGCTCGTGGATAGGTGAGCGAAGAGAATCGTTAAAAATTTTGATCATATTTTTCATTTTTCATTCGATATTCCCTTCTAGCTAGCGTTCATAGCTTAGCTACACCTATTGGTTCATTTATATCGGGTCCTTTAGCCGATTATTTAGGACGTCGTTCAACTTTACTTGTTTCAGTTATACCGGTATTTCTGGGATGGATCACTTTAGCTTTGTCTCAATCGTATCCTATGCTACTTGTCGGCCGTATATTATGCGGTTTCGCCACCGGCATATTGGGTGGCCCAGCTCAGGTTAGTTATTATCAAATCTTATATAGCGATCATGAAGATAACCTTACCAAAATGGCCCGTTTGTCGTGCCTGCTTAACAGTTGAAACAAAAAATTGAAATTTCGAAGGATATGTTGTTGTTTGTCGTTGTCGCGCTGCAACAGTTGAATGAAATGAAATTTTAAACAGATTATCTAATAGTTCCTAAATATTGCTTACTATATTACGCAGCACTTCTGACCCACAATTCGCATAATTTCGTTAACCTTGAACTTTTCATAAAAAGTTCAAACTGTTTTTTGTTTCTTTCAATTCTCTCAGAAATACTTAGAAAGATATTAAATCTATTTAGGCTGATTGAATGCAATCCGCTTTAAGAAGAACATCATCCAACGCTTATCTTCCGTGAGTGGAAACATAACTAGATTAGTAAAGAATGCAAACGCCACTACACACACATATGCTTAGCTAAACAAATTGACTTCTCGCTGCACGTTGTTCGCTGCTGATGCTGAAAATGACGCGTTGACGAGTATCGTAGACATGTGAATGTAGCCATGACATATTCTAGATGATTTCTTCCTCTCTTTTCATTATGCTTTAAGAGTGTGTTTTGCGTCATATTAAGGAACGCTTAGATATGCTAATTTGTGTCTGTATGCAAATAGTTCCGTTCGGATGTTAAATAGTTCCGCATTTTAAAATGACCTTTTTGTCGTGTAAATGCCCGCAAAATGAGCAATAGCTTCAAAAGTGTTCCGACTTTATGATTGTTATTTTTTTTTTTATTTTTTTATTTTTATTTTTATTTTTTTTTTGATATTTCAAATCATATAAGTAATAAGACCGTGAGGTTAATAGAATTGTTTTCATATTTCTATTTACAGGTCTATATAGCCGAAACGGCCGAGCCCAATTTGCGTAGCTTACTTATTGGAGCGCCTTTCGTTTCTTATTCTATAGGCATTTTGATCGTTTATGCCTTAGGTTCTGCCTATCATTGGCGTGCGGTTGCTTGGTATGGAAATGTTTTGCCAGCTTTAGCATCTTTGGCCATTTTCTTTATACCTGAATCACCGCCATGGCTTTTAAGGCATGAGAAACTATCTGAAGCTCTTAAGGCTTTAACTTTTCTCAGAGGCAATGAACTCGAGGCGCAAAAGGAACTTAACAATATGTCAGAACGTCTGGAACGTGAACGGGCCGCCACCACAACAAATGAGAATATATTTCAATTGTGTTGTCAACGTGTGGCTATTAAGCCATTAATAATTGTTATCACATTTGCTGCCCTACAAATACTTTCGGGCACTTTTATTGTCGTCTTTTATGCCGTTGATATTATCGCTGAATTCGGTGCTGAATTTGATACGAGAACTGCTGCAATTTGGACGGCTGTGGTGCGCATGTTATGTACTTTCATATTCTGTGTTATCTTATTGTTTATAAGAAGACGACCAATTCTTATACTATCCGGTATTGGTTCCGGCCTTAGCTGTTTAATTTTAAGCCTCTATATGTTCGCCAAAGAAGGGAAAACGAAGACTAATGTTGACATAATAGTGGCCGGTGTTTGCTTACTCACCTATATAGCTTTTAATACATCTTTAATGGTTATGCCCGGTATTATGATTGGCGAATTGTTTCCCGCTAAAATTCGCGGCCGTACGGCTGGAGCTGTGTTCGCCGCCATGAATGTAGCCTTGTTTGCTTTAGCCAAAGGATTTCCTTACATTCATGTTAACATTCGGATGAAAGGTGTTTTTCTTATGTTTGCCGTTGCAAGTTTTCTTGTATCGATATTCATGTTCATGTTTCAACCCGAGACGAAAGGAAGTTCTCTCGAACAAATTGAAGATTATTTCAGTGAAAGCAATTGGCTATGGCTGAAAAGAGGAAGAAAGTATAAAACAGTAAAGAATAGTAACGAGGACGAAGCATGCATAAATTCATAATTTACAATATATTGTAAGCAGATATAGAATGGTTATGCCTATCATCGTGAAATAGTCACATGTTATACCATTAAACAGGGAAATTTAAGATTTTTCGTAAATTAAGCCAGTACTTTACTACTCTAAGGTAGCTTGAGAGAGTTTGTATTTTATTCAAAAATTGTGATGTTTAAAATAATTTAGTTTACAAAGTGTAACTATATAAGTAAAATTAAGAGAAATACATAAAAAGACTACATGTTCATTTATGAAAATTTATATGGATTTTTTATTATTGTTATATCCCATGAAATACTTTACAGGTTTAAAAAAAAAATTTTTATTCGATTTCTCTTGCATTTTGTTCGAAATTATGGCTATCATAGAGCTTCGTTTTACAGAGAAGTATCGATCAAACATAGGCGCAACTATAAAGGGAGAATATTTAATTGTAAATCGATGCGATCTTATTACCTATCTCGTTAAGATTTTAACTCTTAAATTTTTCCCGAAGCAGGTCTTGACTTAATGCACATATAGTTAAAAAGGAAATAATATTACTTTCCCAACCATGAAACCATTTCTCGTTTTAGATTAGATAGGAGAAGTGAAAATTGTGGCGACGAATTTGATAATATACCAAAAATAAACGAAAATTGTTTTAATTGCTTTAGGCGATCGATTCATGAAAAGTTTTCCAATTATTTCTCTCATGTTATTTTTTTAAGTCATGCAATTTTTATACTCTATCACACTTGGGATATAGGGTGTATTAAGCTTTTGCGGGCATATGTAACACCCAGAAGGGCTTAAGATAATTCCCCCGGTCAATTGGGAATCATATTCTCTCAATCTGACGTCTGCCCATGTGATTGTATTTACTTTACAGTCGCAATTTTTGAGATATTTTGATGAAGTTCGGTAAATTGACGCTCTTTGTGTCAAGAACGAATGCTATACAAAATGGTTCGAACCGATCCAGTTTTCCGATCACTTTCCGTATAACGTCTTATTTTGAAAAGTAATTGTGTGAAAAAAATTGCAATTTTCAAAAGTTCTTGGTAAACTCCCTGAGTAATAATACTTCAATATTCTAAATTGTTATGAAACATTTTGGTTCGGCCTTTGCAATTTTGTGAATCCACTCTCCTAAAAGCATTCGTATGAAAACTTAATCTTCACCGCAATAAAAAATTCGAATTTTCAATATTTCATGGCGAAAATTTATTCAAAGTAGTAAAAGGACAAAGAAATAAACTTTACCTAATTTAACCTAGGTATGATTATAATTTTGATACCATCATGTAGAATGGTTCTGGGGAAATTAAGGCCTTTATATGCCTAAAAGACCTTCTTGTTAATGTTTTGTGATGAAAATTTGTTCATGATAGTAATTTGAGATAAGAATTAAGTGGACTCAATATGAACCACATGGCCCTGTTGCTTGTGTTGCTTAATATAAGATATCTCATAAAAAAGGGTTAATATTTTATGCTGGAAATTGGTTCGTAGTAGCAATTAAGCAAAGAAATTAACGGTAAGGTGCTTGCTTCATAAAGATTTATTTTTAAGACTCTAGCACAGGTAGCTAAAATGAAAACCAAACACTTTTATGGGAAAAAACTTTTAGTTTTTTAGGCCCGAAAGTGAAAACTAATAATATTTTCAAGAAGTAAATCAAAAATGCTGAGTTTGGGTGATGCCATGCGATACTTCGGTTATCTTATAGCATGCGCATGTGCATGACTTTAATGTATAATTCTTGGTGTATTATTACACTTAAAGTGTACCGGTATCCGCCTGGGTGGCCGAGTAGGCAAGAGTCTCGACTAAAAATTCAATGGTCGTGGGTTCGAATCTCAGGTGCGGTAGAGTTTTTAATAAAAAAGGCCGATAGCCTTAGATGCTAGTGCTTTTAAGAGTTTAGTCTTAGAATTTATTTCTCTGGCGAAATTAATAATAATAATAATAATAATAATAAAGTGTACCGGTAACGAAAATGAATGCTTGCCGTTTTAAAATTTTTTAGTATTAGACTCACGCGCTAACAATGCGAACTCTACGTGGAAATTTTGTGTAGTTATCAATCAAAACATTTTCTCAAGACGTAGGAAGCATGGTAAACACTACTACACCCAACTCGTGCTAAAAAAGCTTCTGCCTGCCGAAATTGATAGAATGCTTACTCTAGCAGCTGTAGAGAAATCCCAAAGCCCTTGGTCATCACCATCTACTTTACCTGCCAAGCCATGAAAGGTTTGATTATGCTACCATGCTCTCAAAATGAACAGCGTTAGGGTCAAAGACGCTTATCTCTTACCGTTGAATGATGCGATATTGAGTAAATTACCAAAGGCAGAATACATCACCAGCGTTGACCTAGAAGATGCCTTTTGGCAAATTCCTTCAGATGAACATGCGAAAGAAAACACAACCCAGTTGCCTACTACATCAATTTGTGACAATTCACAATTCACACAGCGCGATTCCACTTCACCTGCTTGGTAGTTGTTTCTGAGAATTTTGATGAGCATCTTCATCCGCAACTATTATTTGAATTCGGGAAATTATCTGTTTTATTTTGTATTCCGGACGTCGTTCCACACAGTTCTTCGAAACGAAAGTTTTAATTCTCAGTTATTCACCAAAATTAATAAGAAAGAATAGTCATTAATGTTACAATTTTTATCTGAGTGGTGGATTAGAGTCGAGTGGAATCGATTTCACAAACAGGGCGTTCTCGGATCTCCTCCCAGGGCGTTTATAGCTTCTTTTAATATTAACGGAATTTTCAAAGTGAAATAATTCGAGCTGCTACCTCAAATATATCCAAAGTAATAAAACGTTTTTTTGCGTTCAATATTGAAATTTCCCCGTTGGAAAATTTAGTTTGGATATTAATCGTCGAGCCAGGATGAGAGTTTGAATCTTATTTGAACTTTGAATATGTTTATTATATCACATCCAATTTCCAAAAAATTTTTTTTTCCAATTTATTTCAACATACATATTGGTTGAAAGCATCTCTGACTTAATTGAGTGCAGCAAACAATTCTGGTTTAGTTAAGCAAAAATCAGCTATTTTTAATGTTTCGCTTTGCAAAGGTTTGCTATTTTGCTTCGAGATATTTTTCCTATGGGAAAAATATATTTCTTTACATTAGGAGGAGTTTCTAGATGCAAAGAAAATGCAACGGGGAAAAATAGCTTTCGGCAAAATCAACTTAAGCCTTACGGCAACGGATTCTAAGGCCAGTGGTAATGCTGGTGCTGGTACTTCCATGGGTTTTAAAAAAATCGACAAGGAGCAAATGCAACGTAAAGTTGAAGAGATCAGCGGGGATTTGGAGAGTCAAAATTTAAAGGAAATTATGGGCATAACTAGTTTTGGAAGAAAAGCGGCGAAAATTTTTGACATAAATGTACGTTTAAACAAGCGAACAACAAGAAAATTTTGTATTACTTTCATAAGGTTTTTTTTATTGTTTTACAGGAACAAATTGCCAAAGCGAAAGAAGCTGCTCCCACCCACACCCAAATTACAAACGCAGAGCTTTCAAAAGACAATGCCTTAGAAGTTGAAGAAGATGATGACAGTGAAATAATAGGCCCTTTGCCAACCATTGCTCTTAGTAACTCGCAACCCACTAAGGACGAAGAACGTGATGAAGGGAGTGGCGACGAAGAGAGTGATGAAGACGAACTGGATTTATTTAAAAGTATACCTAATACTCATGAAGTCAAGATGCAACATGGAAATAAAGCAATCTTAGCTTTAGCGGGCGATCCGGCCGGGGCGCGTTTAGCTTCAGGTTCTATCGATTATGATATGTGCTTCTGGGATTTTGCGGGCATGGACTCTTCTATGCGCAGTTTTCGTACGTTACAACCCTGCGATAATTATCCTATACGCGGTCTGCAATATTCAATAACAGGTGATGTTATATTGGTTATATCGGGTAATGCCCAAGCCAAAGTATTGGATCGTGACGGCTTTGAAAAAATGGAATGTGTTAAGGGCGATCAATACATTAGCGATATGAGCCAAACAAAAGGTCATACAGCCCAACTGACAGCTGGTTGTTGGCATCCCTTTACTAAAGAAGAGTTTTTAACTGCAGCTTTAGACGGTACGTTGCGTATATGGAAAGGCCTTAGAAATAAAGAACAAAATACAGTTATAAAAACGCGCGCTCAGGGCGGACTCAAAACAAGCGCTTCATCTTGCGGTTACAATCGGGATGCGACGTTAATAGCAGCAGGTTGTATAGATGGCTCTCTGCAAACATGGGATACTCGCAAAATGTTTGTAAATACCACGCACTGCGTACGAGGAGCACACCAGAAAAATTGTGAAATTACATCTGTTATGTTTTCATACTTAGGTCACCTCATAGCCACTCGATCAAATGATGAAACCATGAAATTATGGGAGTTGCGTTATTTGAAGGAACCATTACACACTTGGTCAAATCTTTTTTCACGTTATGATACTACAGATTGTTGTTTCAGTCCGGACGATCGTTTGTTGGTAACCGGTGAATCCCTGTCGAAAAGTCAGCAGCAAGCAAATATATATTTTTACAATGTGCAGACGTTCGATGAAGTCAAGCGTATACCGGTTACAGATTCACATATTATAAAAACGTTGTGGCATCCAAAATTGAATCAGTTATTCGTAGGATGCGGTAATGGGGTTATCAAATGCTACTACGATGAAAGGCGTAGTTTTAGAGGAGCAAAATTGTGTGTAGTTAAAACTTATCGTAAGAAGAAACACGCTGAAATTATGGGAGTATCTCAGATCATTACACCTCATGCTTTGCCCATGTTTCGCCAAGAGAAATCGCGTTCCTCCCGGAAGAAAGTAGAGAAGGAACGTTTAGATCCTGTTAAATCGCATCGCCCTGATTTACCAATCACCAGCGGCCAAGGAGGCCGTGTAGCCAGCTCTGGTGGGACTTTATCGTCGTATGTGATACGTAATTTAGGACTCAGTAAACGCGTTGATGATGACCAGGATCCCCGAGAAGCCATTTTAAAGTATGCCAAAGAGGCAGAAGAAAACCCATACTGGATTGCGCCGGCTTACAAGAAAACCCAGCCGAAGCCAGTATTTTCGGAACCTGTAGATCCAAACGAAGAACAAAATGAACCTAGCTTAAAAAAAGCCAAAAAGGAGTAAAGTTCGATAAAGCAATTATTTAAGAGTAGACATTAGGAAAATATAATAAGACGAAGAAACTTCCTTGGAAAGTTAGAATAGAATAGGAGTATGAAAGACTTTGATAGTATAATAATAAAATATTGTATATGAATGGAGGAATGCAAAATCACAAGGTGTATCTTCTCTCTTATGTACCTAGTCCTTGAGTTAGTTATAAAAAGTGAAATATTTGTTGACATTCAGAAAATCTAAAAATATGTTTATTTACTATCTTGTTTCACTAAAGCATCTTGCAAGCGATAACAGTCGCTAGCTATTTTCCATTTATCATCTTGCGCGGTTATTATAAATGTTTGCTGAAATGGTTTCGTAGGCTGATCCGTGTACTTGACAGTACCGCCTGTCTGTATTAAATAAGTTATCTGACCAGATACCGCTTCGTCTATAAGGGGTTGCGCATCCACTGTAGAGATAATGTGCTCTGACGTAGGAAGTTCTACGAAATATTTTTGTATATTGTCTTTTCCATGCGCACCATTACCGTTCCATACGAATAATCCGTTGTCCAAATATAAACGATTCATTTGCTAGCGAAAAGAGCGCTTTTTATATTTTGCAATGACACTACCTATTGACAAGCAAACTGACTTACATGTCTTCGTTTATCAAAAGTTTGATAATATAACTTAGTAAAATCTTCTGCAGTGCGGCAACAGGCCTCCACTTTGGCTCTTAAAACCTGTAACGTTATACTTCCAAGGTTAAAGATTTATTAAGCTGAATAAAAGCACTCACATTATCCATTTTAGATTCATCTGCTTTTCTTTTTTTACGTTATAAGGGAAATAAAGGTCGACTTTTTTAATTTTGATGATTTGATTTATTTTCAAAGCAATTTAATCTTTAGAAACGTAAAATGTTCAATTTTGCGATAATTTTTATATAGGATTGCCATATATACACAGTTTGTCATCGCCTCTGCTGCCGCTAAGTTTGCCAATACGATAATTTTTTGTTCGTCGACAGTTACTGGCGTGCCATGATTTGGCAATCCTCCGACAAACTATTGATGCTAAATTTGTTTTGTGGTATATGGAAATCAAATAATTTCATTTTAGTATCACACATTTTAGTCTACATACACTCTTTTTTTCTTTTGATTGGTTTAATAAAGTCAGTCTTGGCCTTAACTAATAAACAAATAATAATCTGTTTATTTATTTGTGCATGATATTGTCGTTGTTTTCATAACTTTTGTTTCTTGTAAAAAAAGTAATGTCAAACTCTCCCCTTATTTGAAATAAATACTAGGAAACGGTAATGATACCGTGTTCAGAAGAAGGAAATTACTCTCTTTTGTCATCACGAGAATTAATAAAAAATGCGTAAGCAGTGCCCAGAATTGTGAGGCAAGAAAACTTTGTTCACAAAGATATACCACCGGAATTTATGTCGAAAGGAGTAAACCGACTTTATATAATCCCCCCCGAAATTTAATTCCATTATAAAGCAGTCAAATGAGGGCGACGTCGATGCTCGTAAAATATCGATTGCACCAATTTCTTAAGTTTTGTTGAACATCGTGTTTTCATCTAATGTCACTAAACGTTTAAAAAAGCGTTGTCCTATGTATTTATTTCGGATGTCAAAAGAACGAACGCGGCTTTTATCAGGCGCAGTGTTACACAAATTTTTATGGAAACCATAAAGACCAGAGAGCATTCGAAATCTTTTTAGAAGTCACACACAAAATATTACATTTTTAGAACCTTTCCTTCAGTTACTCATTTGCTAGGTAATATGCTTTGCTCACACATTGTGCAATTAAAAGCAAAAATGCAGTAATACCTCCGCAGAGAGAAAATATTATAAAACAAAACTATTCATAACCTTAAAAAATTAAGTATGGATAAAAGTCTTGTCCAACGAAATTAACCTCTATGTGCAAGTTCATCCTTTAATAGGCTATCAGGTAAAACCAAGTCAATAGATATTCGATTACATGTTATTTAACCTACTTCAAAGTTCTTAATGAATATGTAAACAACGTTTACAAGATGATCTCTTTTCTTTAAAGTAACGTTACTCTTAGTTTTTATAACGTCATTGGCGAAAACACTACTAACTTCAATATTTAAATCAACTATGAAAAAAAATTACAAAATTTGGAAAATTGAAAAAGGAAAATTCATAATCTCGAAGTTCATGGAGAAAAATGCAACCAATAAGATCATGAAAGTAAACAAAAATTTAAATAATAACAATAGTAAATTAAAAAAACCGCTAACCGCTCGAAACGAAACACAACAAAAAAAAAAAGTGACAATTCTGGAAAAATATTACCATAATTCCCAGAAAAACACAGTAATCGTTGGATTTGCAGTTGAGTTGTCTAGATGAGTTTAGAATTTGCGCCAAATCGTTTAAAAACGAGCAATTTTCAAATTTAGAAAAGAATCTTAAAACTCAACTTTGGCAGTGATAAATTATATAAAGAAGTGTCTTCACAGTAAAAATTTTAACAAAAAAATTTTAGGAGCGCCAACAAGGCGAAAAGCACGCCCCGACTTGAGAGATCAATTTTCCTTCCATTTCACTCAACTCCAAGAAAAAAAAGAAGATTGCAGACACTCGCTGATGTACACGTCGTAAACTACGCTCTTCACTATTCACTTTCTGCAAAACTACACAGAAAAAGTTGCATGTCAGCAACATGGACAAAGATAAAGGCGGAAATGGACAAAGATAAGGATGCTGATTTTTTTGATAATGAAACTTAAGCAGACACCTATCTAGTCCCTGTTAGGGCCGATGCTCGTGAAGAAGAGTGATGATGATGGTTCGAACAAGTATCTTCCGACAATGATTGTAATGAAAAGGAGTATGATGTGGCATCATAGTAGAGTCAGAGTTAGAAAACTTAAGTTATCGAAATGCCGTTAGAAACACTGGAAGAAAATAATGACGAACCAAAATACAGTTGGCAATTAACATGGCTTTTTATAACATGCAGACCATATTCAACCTTTGTTTGCTTTTCCGATGTTATATATCCTGAATATAGTAAAGCAATTTGCAGAGAAAAAATAAGCCTAAAGAGACTTTTTTCATTTCTTTAAAATAAAATGAGACGAAGTGCCCGTGCAAATCTTGTTTATTTTTAATGTGAGATAAAATGGGATGCTAGTACAAATAAAGAGCTTTAACCGGACCCAATGAAAAATTTTAAATGAAGAAGGTCGACAAAATATTGGGGTCAATTAAACCACTTAATGCCAAGAAATCTTAGAGCGTCTTGCCCTGAGAGCCAAAATTTTGTTTTCGTTTTTATAATAAAAATTCAATATCCCTTAAAAGTTTGTATAAAACTGTTATTTATGCTTTCTAATAATTCATTCTGGAAAAATTCCTCGGAAAGTACAGCAGCCACTGGCTTTGCATTTAAGGCAATAAAACGCAATTATGAATCGTCGCTGATGTGAGCATCGTAAGCTTCGCCGCGTACTTTCAAAGCTGTATTCAGGATGTATAGTGCTGAAAAGGACGATAAAGCTTAGATATGCGCTCGATGTTATAAAAAGTTTATGGATTATCCGATCCGCATTGCGAACAGTTCTTCCCCTTCCCTTTCTTTTCGTCGAAATGCACTGTTTTCAGCTCCCTAAAGCGTTGTCACTCTTCATTTCGTTTTAAACTTAATATTAATCCTTATTTCAATAAGGATTAACATTAATGCTCGACTCATCTTTTTTCCAAACCAGTCAGATATGTTGGTGTAATTGGCAGCAACTGATTTTACCCAAAAATTAAACACAGATTGATGGATTTAAGAACCGCAAGGGATAGTACCTTTACATTTATTTACATAATTTTATATTAACTGCAAATTGTTTTAATTCGACTTTGTTCCGCTGAAACGTTTCAGCGTAGTTTGTTAACTTGACCGAAGTATGTTTGACAATGGAAGTGACATTTTCAGAAATGTTTACATTTCCTACAGGCGGTTGGCGTTGTTTAGCTTTTTGTTTGGCAGATGAAAAACGAAGAAACGTGCACTTGCATTTATCCTTGTTCATGCTAGCCGCGTAGAAATATGTCGGAAACTTTGGAATATGATGTCTCAGCTGAAGTAAGAGGAGTTATGGTAAGTAAATGTACAATTAGGAAAAAACTTAATTATGCATTTGCTTGCAATCTTCCTTTCGTAGACTCCAGGTCGTTTAAAGCTTTCTGATCAACAAATCGTTTTTAAAAACAGTAAAACTGGAAAAGTTGAACAAATTGCTTCTGAAGAGATTGATTTAATAAATTCCCAGAAATTTGTTGGTTCTTGGGGCTTGCGGATATTTACCAAAAACGGACATTTGCATCGGTTTGTTGGATTCAAGGACAACGAACATGAGAAATTGGCAGCTTTCATTAAGAAATCTTACAATCAAGATCTAGTGGAAAAGGAAATGTGTGTGAAAGGCTGGAATTGGGGCACGGCGCGTTTCTTAGGCTCGGTGCTTAGTTTCGACAAAGACAGCAAAACCATATTTGAAGTGCCTCTGCCGCATGTATCCCAGTGCATGACTGGAAAAAATGAAGTCACTTTGGAATTTCATCAGAACGATGATGCGCCAGTAGGTCTAATGGAAATGCGTTTCCATATACCATCTGTGGAGTCGGCAGAAGATGATCCAGTAGAGACATTCCAAAGCAATGTAATGAAAAAGGCGTCGGTTATATCGGCATCTGGAGATGCTATTGCTATCTTCCCAGACATACACTGTCTTACGCCCAGAGGTCATTATGATATCAAAATATTTCCCACTTTTTTTCAATTACACGGCAAAACATTCGACTATAAAATTCCTATGAATTCGGTTTTGCGCCTCTTCTTATTGCCGCACAAAGATAATCGGCAAATGTTTTTCGTTTTGTCTTTGGATCCACCTATAAAACAGGGCCAAACTCGGTATCATTACCTGGTCTATTTATTTGGCCCCGAAGAAGAAACTTCTATCGAACTTCCGTTTAGCGAACAAGAACTTAAAGAGAAATACGATGGGAAAATAGAAAAAGAACTTTCGGGTCCCCTATATGAGGTCATGGGTAAAGTGATGAAGGTATTAATAGGTCGAAAAATTACGGGATGTGGAAATTTTGTCGGGTAAGCTGCTGATAAACAACATTTGAGGTTATTTGCGTATTTTATGTTTCTTGATTTCAGTCACTCTGGCACACCTGCGTTAGGTTGTTCTTTTAAAGCTGACAAAGGTTCTTTGTATCCCTTGGAAAGGGGATTTATTTACTTGCATAAGCCACCGATACATATACGCTTCGAGGAGATAGCTGCGGTAAACTTTGCTCGCAGCGGCGGTTCTACGCGTAGTTTTGATTTTGAAATTACTTTGAAAAATGGCACCGTGCACACCTTCTGCTCCATCGAAAAGGAGGAATATTCAAAACTGTTTGATTTTATTACACAGAAAAAGTTGCATGTTAGCAACATGGGCAAAGACAAAGGCGGTTATAAGGACGTTGATTTTGGCGATTCAGATAATGAAAACGAACCGGATGCCTATTTGGCCCGTGTTAAGGCCGAAGCTCGTGAAAAAGAGTCCGAGGAGGATGATGACGGTTCGGAAGAAGAATCTACGGATGAAGATTTCAAACCCAATGAAAATGAGTCTGATGTGGCTGAAGAGTACGATTCAAATGCTCAAAGTGATTCCGATGAGGATTCAGATGCCAGTGGCGCAGGAAGCCCCGATAAGCACAGTGCTGATGAAAAAAAACACAGAAAACACAAAAAGGAAAGAAAGGAAAAGCGAGAAAGTAAAGAGAAGAGCAAAGAAAAAACGGTAAGATGTGTAAATAACTAATTTTTTTATTCGGCTTAGTTGATCTTAACCCAACATCTAAAACGACATTTTTAATTCTATTTGAATTTCTTTTTAGAAAAAATCTGCGAAAAAGAAGGATTTAAACAAACCGAAGCGGCCAACGACTGCTTTTATGTTATGGTTAAATGATACCCGAGATCAAATTAAACGTGAAAATCCTGGCATCTCAGTCACCGACCTTGCTAAAAAAGCTGGTGAAATGTGGAAAGAATTAAAAGATAAATCTAAATGGGAAGAAAAAGCTGCTAAAGATAAGCAACGTTATTTGGATCAAATGAAGACCTATAAACCTAGCGCAGATAGCGGCGATGATCAGAACGCCAAACCGGCCAAGAAACGCAAAAAGGAATCTCCAACGAAGAAATCAGCTAACATTTCTGGCTCATTTAAGAGTAAAGAATATATTTCAGATGACGATGACAGCTCCTCTATTGAAGCTGATAATGAAGCGAGAAAAAGTAAAGAAGGCAAAGCTGCAGCCGACACCGAGAAAAAGAAAAACAAAACGGTTAGTTTTCAATCGTTTATATTGTCTAAGAAAATTAAAAATTTTTTTTCTCTATATCTGTTAGAATGGCGACGTGAAGAAGGGAAAGGCAAAGAAGTCGGCTAGTAATGACGGAGAATCTTCGCCCAGCACCGAAATAGAAGAAAGCGATTAAAAGGTCTATTATATACATATTTATATAGTTCTTAACATTATCAATAAACCACGAAAAGTATGCTTAAATAAGGCATTTTCTTTTTTTTAATTGAAGCCTTATTACACGCTTTGATATCTTCATCGCTCTGTTTTTCTTTCCCTTCTCCACCTTCATTTGCACACACTTGCACTTAGCATCCCTCAATTTTATAATCCTGATTCTGGTCGGATATGCTTCAGATGGCAAATGTGGAATCTAGCAAACAGGCTCATTATCAACCCCACTGAACTTTCGCCTTATTATTATTAGTCTCCGTAGCTTTAAGGTGATAAAAATTACAAGCACATGCAAATAGCCTACAACCTTATCCAGTTGTAGGTGCAAGAAATTTTGTTTTTTTTTTTTTGTTTTAGCTGAAATAGGGGGTTGGGGGTTTAAAAGTTTTCTCTAAAGGAGAAACCTTGGCTTTCCCCTTTTTCTTTAAATGAATTCAGTTTGACCGGCCTGAGCTCAAATTTCTCGTTTTAAAGTTGTGCGAATGTCTAGAAAAGATAGTGTTCGAATATTTTTGTTTGTGAAGAAGGATATCATTTTAACTATTCAACCACGCCGTGTCAAGTCTGACTCAACGTATGGGTTGAAATTTGAAAGTAATCCGACGAAAATTGAATATATATTGAGGTGTCGCAAGTTCCAATTTTTTGTTTATAAGTTTTTAAATTGCTTTTAGTTTCGTAAACTTTACTTAACACAAGAGTTGTCTCTGCATTGTTCCGATAAAAGGAATTGTAAGAACTCGAATTTAAATTCGGCTTAAATTTATTTAAAATATTATTTAAACTCAATCCATATTCTCTCAAGCGGTTCTAATCAGTCTCAAGTTCAATTCAGATTCAAAGTAGTTGAAGCGTAAATTCAACTCAATTCAATCCGGCTCCTATCCAAGTCTTTTTTTTAACTTAATTCAAAATTTGTGCAACCTACTTTCATATATCAGTTACTAAAGTTAAAGATGAGGTGAGCAATTAAAGGTTAAGAATACCCCTGGTTATGATTACGTCTTTACAGTTAGAGCTCTCCTTTTAACGTTATTTAATAGTACGTTAGGATTGAATCACTTTCGCCTAAACCTTATTAACCAGGAAATGTTGCAGATAAATGTCAAATAGACAAATAAGTTTATTGGTTACATTCGGCTACTGGAGAAATATTTGAGAAAATATATTTACGAAAACTGCTGCAAGTTCTAGAGCAGAAACTTTGCTTTAACAGGGAAAAATCTTATTAAAGCTAAGCGTCAGTAACTTGACTCAAAAATCATGAGACACTGTTGGCTAATTTGTCCAGATTCTCAACTTAATGTAAGAAAAGTCCATTTGGACTTGTGGCATACAACTGTGGAGAACGGCCAGCAGCTCTAATACTAAAATGTTCCAAAAATAAATGTTACCGTGTTTCGTTAACAACAAAACCACTCATGATGACCTGCGAGTTCATCAAAATTCGAATTCAACACATTTCCTTCAAATATCTTGTTAGACTGAGTAATTATGTAAATGGCTTGGCAATACTCTCTCTCTTCGAGGAAACGAATGAAATATGAAGATTGAAAAGGCACCATATCCTGCATCTTCTGGATTTAGATATTAATTTAATTTTTTTCCTTTAAATAAATTTTGCAAATTTATATAGTTTATTTTTATTTATTTAAACATTACCATTATATGACAATAACCTCTGTTTTTCCTCCCATCTTCTAATACAAAATTTACTTTCTTCCTATCTTTTTAGATAAATTGTAAATTATTTATGTAATCAAAAAATTTTAAAAAAAATCTCTTTCAAATTCAATTCAATTGAAATTCAATTTTTCCTATAGGTGTTATGTGAATTTCACAGAATCACTTCAGAAGTGATTCTTGCTTTTCGTGCTTTGCAGTGTGGGACGAGTTCCGTTAATTTCCTTGCCACTGTTTGCTATTTCACTAGTGGAAAGTAGGTTTATCCTATTGAAAATTGTTCGGATCATTGCGAAACATCGTTATATGGAAAGAAATTGCAATTTTTTAAATTTCTCGGTAAAAATGACTAAGTAGTAGTAGTATTTCGCCTTTATAAATTGGTATGAAAATTTCAGACCAGTTGGTGCAATTTTTTGGACCCCCTCTCATACAACTGTGTCTGCGAAAACTAAGACTTTATATGGTAAAAAGGTCAAATTTCCACTATATCCTGGGTCCACAAGTGGGTCCACAATAGTAAATTGATAAAAAATCAACCTTACCGCATGTGGTAGACTACTTTTTGAATACCACAGCATATAAGAATTCTAATGGAACGTAAATCGTTATATGGAAAAGAGGTCTAATAGTTTTTTGTGATGAAAATTTGTTCAATATAGTAATTAAATAAAAAAATTAAGTGAATCTAATTTGAACCACATGGGTTTATTTCTTCCCCCACCCCATATAAGATATCTTATGACATCTTAATAATTCGTAGGAGCATTTCAGCGAAAAAGAAAACTAACGGTAAGGAATTTGGGTTACGTACATCTTGGAGCCCGCCTTTTATAGGCGGTATCGCAAACGGCAAATTCTTATATGAAGCGAATAGGCGGGCTTTCACGAAAAGTATGGCTTTGCGTGAAAATAATGTGTGCTTTTTGGTGCACTATTACCAAAAAAAGCGAATAACTGTACTAGGCAAAGTGGTGTAGGGTATGCAAGGGTCGGTGTCACTTATTTACAATGTGCTTGCTTGTTTACATCTTATAAGAGTTAAGCCCTAATGTTTAGCTTAAAATTTATTTTTAAGGGCCTACTTCCTGCGGCTGCTGTTTCACTATAGGTGAATTTCATTCGCAATTAAATTCGAGTTTAATTCAAATTTAGTTCCAATACATTTTAAATTTAATTCAGAGGCAAACCTTCAACTTGACAATTTATTAGATCTGTGTGGGCCCCAGCCACCTGACCTGACTGACAGATGATGAATTGTGGTATCGTTATTTCCACAACGTGGTTGTGCTTTATTGATATATAAAATTTAATGTATAAAAATTTTTTTATATTTACGTTTTAGTTTATTTGGGAATTTTATAAAAAAAAGGGCAAGGAACTTTTCGTAATTTTTGTTTTTGCTTTAATGAAAAAAAGGTTGAGGGATTCTTACAAAAAAAAAAAAAAAAATAAAAGAAAAAAACGATTTTGGTGTTTTTATAATTGTTGCTGTTTTTTTTATTATTGCATGATTTCTTTAAACATTTTTTATGACTTTATTTAATGCGTTATCGTAAATTTCGTCTGAGGCGAAAAATTTACAATTTTTATTTAATTTTTATTCTATAATAAAATAAAAACAATATTGCGCTTATACATATAGAGAGAGAAAATGTAAAAAACTATTTACAGTACAGTAGAGATTCATGCAAAAAATGTCCAACGTCTTAAAAATGGGATACCGAATATAAGAATTATGAAAATCCGAGTTTGAAAGTCTTTTCAAAAGTCTAAACAATGCAAGTGAGAGAGACGATGCTTGACAAATTAATGGTTCAGCACAAATGCCAATGTAGCGTATCTGGAATGAGCGAATAATTCGACCGAATGACCTTAAAAAAAGAATATTGCTTTCCTAATTTTCCTACATTTGATGGATCAGATAGGATTGGGCATCGGCTTAGGCGATTTACAAGTTTCTTTAGTCGTCCTTATAAAAAATACAAATTTTCATGGTTTATGTTTAGGGTCCAATGGCCCGAGAAAAGCCAAAAAAGTCTTTAAAGCTAATTAGTGGTAATTAACGTAACTGAAATAAACCCTACCTTGGCGGATAGAGTGATGAAAAGGGGCCTGAAAACCTTGTTGTCATTCTGCAAAAAGTCGCAAAAGTAATCCAAACTTCCAAAACCCAGACTTGGGCTTGCTGTCTGAGTTCTTTATGCCCAAAGTGTATCTTTGTATCCATAAAGACTAAACTTTACTTGACACAGAAGTGTTTTGCACATATGCCACCAAGTTCTTACAAGTTGCTTATTAGGAGAACTTAGACTTTCTGGCAAACCCACGGCTTTGATATGTAAAGAAATTATCTGTAATAATTTATTATTTAAATCAGTCTCAATACGTTCGGTTAGGCTTTTTAATATTGGTTAAGATCGATGAGATTTGTTAGCTTTTTTATATCATTGCAGTACAGAGTGTATAGAGCTTGCGCGGATATACAAAACAATCAGAAGGACAGACCCACTTATTAAGAACCACTTATTAATACAACAATTGATTCGCAATCATTTTCTTATTCGATTTGAACACATCCGTTCGTCTCTTCGTCTTTCAGTCCGTCTAATTTTTAATGTGCGTCTACCTATGGCGGCTTTCGATCTATAGCTAGCAGTTCTTAGGATATTCTCATGGAGTTCGGTAAACTGACGTGTCTTGGCTCAAGATAATTGAATTGAGTCAGACTACGTCTCCCCTGTAACGTGTTGGTTTGAAAAAATCGTGATATGCAATAACATAACAAAGTTCGAAATTTTGCGATAAAAAACTCGGAATATTATTATTTCGACATATTAAGGTGATGTGAAAAAAAAAACTTTTTTATACCATTGTACCTTAAACTTTCCGTGGGAAGTAACTATTTGTTTGGCAAAAAGATCTAAGTTTTAATATTTTACGATTAGCAAATTTTTATCTTAACTCACGTAGGTTAATTTTCTCGACTCTACCCCAAGTAATGTCATTAAAAGTAAGCCTTCATTTGGCGACAAGGTTCCAAAGGCATGTCCAAAATACACCATTGGAAGAAAATTTCTTTCACTAAATTTGGTCTATGCCAGCCTAGGCTCTCTCTTACAAGAGGCATGTTACTTGCGTCTCCATAGAAACAAGATATAATTTTTATACCCATCGCCGAAAGATGAGAGGTATATTCATTTTATCAAAATGTTTGCAACGTCCGGAAGGAAGTATCACAGTCGCCACAAAGTATATGTATTCTTGATCAGCATCAAATTCAGCATCGATTTAAGCATGTCCGTCTGTCCGTTTATATAATATCTCTTGTAGATATTCTCCTGTCG